TTATCCAAAACTGGGCTGCTTAAAACAATAATCATTTTATTACATCTCGTGATATTATGGGTCAGAAATTTGGGCAGGCCTCAACTGGGTGATTCTCCAGCTTCAAGGGTGGCAATTGAGATTACTCAATGATACTCAACTGTAGGTGTGCTGATCTGAACAATCTGAGATGCCTTCACTCATATGTCTGGTTCCTGGGTGGAGGTGGCTAGAAGGCTGGGATCAGCTGGGACTATTGACTGTAAACGCTTGGTTGGTCTCCAGCGTAGTCTCAGGGTCTCAGCATGGTCTTGGGGTGGCTGGCCTCCTTATATGGCAGTCCAGAGCTCCCAGAAAGGGTGTTCCAAGAGACCAAGGTGAAAGTTGCAAGTCTGTTTCTCATCTGGTGTCAGATATCACACAGTGTCACACTTCTGCTACATTATACTGGTTACAAGGAAGTCACAGGACCAGCCCAGATTCAAGGAGAGAAACTACACAAAAGTAAGCATGGTCCATTGGAGGACCATCTTTGGAGACTAACTTCCACAGTGGAGATTCAAAATTCTAAATCTGTCTAGGAGAAAGTACCACTCACATTTTCATAAGAAAAAGTTATTGTTGTGGATTGAATTGTGTCCCCCAAAAATATGTGCTGTAAATCCTAACCTCTATGCCTGTGGTGGATCCCTGATGGCACAGTGGTTAAGAGCTCAGCTGCTAACCAAAAGGTCGACAGTTCGAATCTACCAGCTGCTCCTTGGAAACCCTATGGGACAGTTCTGCTCTGTCCTATAGGGTCGCTATGAGTCGGAATCGACTCAACGGCAATGGGTTTGGTTTGGGTTTTATGCCTGTGGTAGGAGCCCTGGTGGTGCAGTGGTTAAGCGCTCAGCTGCTAACCAAATGTTTGTCAGTTCAAACTCACCAGTCGCTCTGCAGGAGGAAGATGTGCCAGACAGCTTCTGTAAAGATTTATAGCCTTGGAAATTCTGTGGGGAGTTCTACTCTGTTCTGAGTTGGAATGACTTGATGCCAATGGGTTATGCCTGTGGTTCAAATCCCATTTGGGAATGGGTTGTCTTTGTTATGTTAATGAACAGGATTAGTGTGGGACATGTCTTAAGTCACGATGTTCTGAGATATAAAAGAGATTAAACAAACAAGCAAGAGAAGAAGAGACAGGGGAAGAGAGATGCCGAGACACATGAAGATTGTCCAGGACCAGAAGCGCAGAAGAGACAAGGACCTTGCTCCAGAGATGACAGAGAGAGAAAGCCTTCCCTTAGATCCGGCACCCTGAATTTGAACTTTTAACTCCCTAAACTGTGAGAAAATGAATTCTGTTTGTTAAAGCCATCCACTTATGGTCATTTCTGTTATAGCAGCACTAGGTAATTAACACAGTTATGTTAATAAGTCTCAAATTGTACTCTCAAGGAAATCTATTTCACTGCTAAAGAATAATGTAATCTTTTCTAGGTTTGGATGAAAAACTGGGATTAACCAGTTTTTCAGTAATCTTTTGTTCCCCCAGCAAAATATTTCTTAAACCCTTATTGCTTTATTCCTTACTATTGTGACAGGACAAGTTTTGGAAATGTTTGTGGTTTTCACATAGCATGTTCCTCCTCCCTGATTCTGCGATTACAGTCTTTGTGCTCCCTTGCCCAGAAGTGTGTGTTCTAGGTCTGAAAGCAGAAGGCTCTTGCAGACACTTCCCTTGTTTGCTTTTGTTTTCATAAAGCCTGAGCTTCCAGAATCTTTTATGCAGGGAAAAGAGGTAAGAGCTGAAAGACAACAGAAGTTGGCAGGCACCGCACCAGCAAAGCTTCCCACAGCTTCACTCTTTGACCCTTTCACTCACCTCCTTTCCCTCCCCATACCCATGAAGTCTCTTAGGTCATCTCTTTGGAACCTCTAGCATTCCATGGAGTAGAGTTTGAAAATCACTGCTCTAGGTTAATCGTTCCTGAGATCTTCTGAGTTGGGGGACAAAGAGGAATGGTGGAGTGGAAATTGGAGAACTTCAGATACAGACGACCGTGCTTGTCTTCTGCATGTATGGGGGGTAAAGGAAATGGAGTTACAGGTGATTGCAACTTTTCCAGCCTGACAGTATGGATACCCATCATCAAAACTGGAGAGCTGAGTAGCTGAATTAAATATTTACAAGGAGCGGAGGATAATTCATTTCATTTCTGGAATGCTAAGTCTCAGATTATGGCAGAGCATCGTAAACAAGGTGGCTGATCAGCAGCTGAAGAGATGCGAACATCACACAGGTGAAAAGTCAGGATTGGAAATAAGAAATTCCAGCAATTGTTGAAGAAGTGAGCTCAGAGAGGAAAGAGCAGAGGGCTGAGGACAGAGCCTTCATGAGATCCTGCTGCACAGGTTGAAAGCTGGTAGCCCACCTGTCCCATCCAGCTCATAGGCATGTTTTACTTAGCTTACACATTTTAAAAATTATTTTTAAAATTACTAGCCAATTTAACTTAATTTAAAATTTGAGAGTTTCCACACAATCTGGATAATGACTTTTCTTGAAAATAGGAAGACTTGACAGTGCTAGGCTCACATTCTCCGATGGCTTGAGATGAGTAGCCACTGCTCCCTTTGGATGGGGCAGCTACTGTCCAGTTGTACAGAGTCCCTTCTAGTCAATTTCACCCGCTCAACGGCAGCAAGAAGATTAATAGTCAACAGAGACCAGTGAAGATTTAGGTTTTGTTGCTGTTTGAAAGTTGGGGGAGACTAAGCATATTTGTTTCCTTCCCCACCCCCTACCCTAGAGAAGCTGACAAAAAGAAGAAATCAAATATGCTAGAAGATAGGGAGTGTTGATGGGATCCAGGTGTTGAGTGATGTTAGAAGGGATTCAGAATGCAGATGCAAAATTAGGTTTAGGGAGGTAGAGAACTATCTTCTAAAATTAGAGGTAATGATGACAGTATATAGATACGATGAAGAAACCGGACAAGAATAATAGGACTGAAGAGGTGAGAAAGTAAAAATCTACCCTATCATCCATCAGACCAGACTAACAGACACAGATAAAGCCAGCTGCAAAGTCATCGAGAAACAATATTTTTTCCATGGTGTCATGGATTGACTTGTGTCCCCTTAAAATACATGTATCAGTCTGGCTGGGCCATGATTCCCAGTACTGCATGATTGTCCACCATTTTGTCATCTGATGTGATTTTCCTGTGTGTGGTAAACTTTATCACTACCATGTTAATGAGATGGATTAGCGGCAGTTATATTGATGAGATATACAAGATTAGATTGTGTCTTTAATCTCTTTTGAGATATAAAAGAGAAAAGTGAGCAAAGAGACAGCGGGACCTTATACCACCAAGAAATCAGTGCCAGTAGTAGAGTGCGTACTTTAGACCTGAGATTCCTGCTCGGAAAAGCTCCTAGACCAAGGGAAGACTGATAACAAGGACCTTCCTCCAGAGACAACAGAGAGAGAAAGTCTTCCCCTGGAGCTGATGCCCTGAATTTGGATTTGTAGCCTACTGGACAGTGAGAGAACAAATTCCTCCTTGTTGAAGTCACTTGTGATGTTTCTGTTACAGCAGCACTAGATAACTAAGACACACAGACAAGCTGTATTTGTAAAGTATCATAGCTCACTTCTTCGAGTGACTACTTTTTCTTACTGAGAAGTTTTGTTTTCTAAAGTCACAGACTATCAGAAACTATTTGAAATTATGTCGGTAAGAATGAAGCATTTCACTCTTGCCTGGAGAATCTAAGCCATAAAGAAACATCTGATCTTCAATCCGTTGCAGAGTTTCAGAGAAGGGATTTCTGAATATCCCACATCTAAACTTTGTAGTTTCCAAGAAACAGGACCATGGGTCCATTTTGTAACCCAGGACTAGTGTTGATCCCTCGGCTCACATCCCTGCTTTGCTTTCAGCCTATCAAAACACTGCTTCCTTTAAATTTTACCTAAACTCCCACTTGCCCCAAAATCCTGTTTGGTGAGACACCCCATGGTTTTTCCAACGGTGAGCAAGGAAACAATAAACCTAAAGTTGTTGGATCATAGGTTAGTTTCTCGTGGATTAGCATGATTGGGAGCATTGGAGGTTTTCATAGTCCAACCCTTCATTTTACAAACAAAAATCGAGGACCAGAGAAAAGCTTCCACATTGTCGTTACAGTTCTCCTTCCACAGCACCTCAGAGGCACTTCCACGTGAAGAGCCTTCAAGGAATCCACCTAAAAATAAGAGGTGAAGTCAACTGTGGAGTGGTTTTCCTTAGACATGTAATCCACAAATTTATCTAAACCTTTTAAGAACATTTTTACACTTTCATCCTCCCCCAGGTCAGTCATTCCTCAGCTGTCGGGGTTGACGAGTTCCGTAAGTTTCTTGTCTGCTAAGGTGGGACCTCCGATTCTCTGGCGGCCTTCTCACACGTCGCTGCAGCGTTCCACATGTCCTCAGCAACCTTCTGTATTCCCTAGGGGAAATGCCCTTTTTCTTTCTTACTCTTTTCTTCCCAACCCACTCTCAGAAAGGAGGAACCGCTTAAATCAGAAAGTCACGTCCCACCCTTCCTTCAAATCCCCTTCCTTTTTCTGGCAAACTTCTCTAAAAACGTTGGCTAGGAATTAAGTTTGTCCCCAGACCAAAATGAAAGCAAACACTTTCTTTTCGGAATATAGTATTTTATTTAAACTACAACAGTAGTCATAACAGGTCCCCTCCCCCGACAAAGAATAGAAAGCTGGGCGCATCTGCCTTGGCTCTGGGGAATTCCGCGGCGGGACTGTGATGGGGCGCAGCCGCCTGGTCTCCAAAACCACTTTTTCAAGACAGCACCCAACGAAACTTGAATTTGCAACCCGCGAGCAATGAGGGGTCGCCGGGAGGCGGCCTCACCGAGCTGGCGGCTAGGCGCGGGCGGGGAGTGGGGCCCTCCGCGCATGCGCCGTCCTTCGCTCGCACCGCCCATCCCCGCCTCCCCGCCGCCCCATCGCCGCGGCTGCGCCCTGAAGACTGATCGGGCGGTAGCCCGCGAGCCGGCCAGGGAAGAGCCGGGCGGCCGGATTGTCAGCCCGGTCTGCTCTTTCCCGAGAAGGGAGGACGGGGCCACTTTCTCGGGCTCGAGAATCTTCTCAGCCTCGCAGCCGGCCCTGGCCGGCGAGGAAAAAGTTCAGGAGTCGTGGGTCGCTCTACCGGTACCGCCGCCGCCATGGCTGCCATGATGGAGCGGAAGTGAGCCTCAGGGCGACGGCTGCCGGCGCCGGCGCTTCGAGTCTCCCCTTCCCCGCCGCCCTCGCCGGGGGAAGCGCTGCGCGGAGGACCGCGGCCTCCCACTGCCCTCGGGACCCCTGCTCGCTGGCGCTCCCAGCCAGACCCTCAGCTCGTGCACGCTTCCTTCCAGACTGAGCGGCGGGGAGTGGCTCCCGGCCTCCGGCCCCGGCTGCGAGGAAGATGGCGGACCCGGCCGAGTGCAACATCAAAGTGATGTGTCGCTTCAGACCTCTGAATGAGTCTGAGGTGAACCGCGGCGACAAGTACGTCGCCAAGTTTCAGGGAGAAGAGACGGTGATGATCGCGGTGAGTGACCCCCACCTTCACCCCCATCCCGCGCCGTCAGGCCTGACTGGGCCGGGAGTTCTGGCAAGTGGCGAAGTGCGGAGCCGACAGGGAGCAGTGGGGTCCCCAGCCCTCGCGGGCGGGCTTTGCCGGTGCCGATAACCCAGGGGAGGGAGGCTGCGCAGCTCCACGGGTTTCCCTGGGTCGCCCCCACCCCGGTCTAAGGCGTCCGGAGACGGGAGGCGCCTAGTGTCCGCTTGGGACACTCCCCCACCTGGGGCGGTGGGGGAACCGTCCGGGGAGCAAATTTAGTGCATATTTGTGTGCGTGTGTGTGTGTATGTGTGTGCATTTACTGTGGCTGATGCTGCTGATGTTCTGGACAGCCCCCAAATTTAGCGTGCATGAAACGTGTAAGGTTAATTCAGAAGCTCACGAACATTGAGCTGGAGACCGGTCCTACGGTATCTTAAAATAAAGATATCTGGTCTTATGGAAACCTACAGCTGCATATTGAAGCATATTTTTTCTTCCGCGGGAGGAGAAAAACTACCAAACGAACTACCAGTGCTGTGTCCCTGAACCGTAAATGTTCACCCACCCACCTTTGAGTGATGACTTCATGTTAATAATTACAAATGGCGAATCGAGGACTGTGAAAAGAACAGTGAGTTTTGAAATCAGAGTGATGAATTTCGTTTAATATTTTAGCTGATCTATCAGATTCAGATCGGGTCGAATAAGTGCCAAGAAAGATCCAGAATCTCACCCTTAATGGATTTTACGGGGTAGTAGTCAAGGACAGTGTTATTTTTGTGTATATCATTAAGAAAATACACTAGCAAACTTATGGAAAAAAGTCCAGTGAGGTAGATTTCTCATTTTATTACTAGATTTATATTTCTATAGTTCAGATCTACCTTGAAGAAAAATGATTTTGATGATCTAAAGGATGGTGAGATATGTCCCTTTCTAGGATAAAGTGTGGTAATTAGAGTTGGTTGATCATTGTCAAGAAGCGCTGGTGGCACAATGGTTAAGCGCTGGGCTGCTAACCGAAAGGTCGGCGGTTCGAACCCACCACCCGCTCCGCGGGAGAGAGATGTGGCAATCTGCTTTCGTAAAAATTTACAGCCTAGGAAACCCTATGGGGCAGTTCTACTCTTCTGTCCTGTAGTCGCTAAGAATCAGAATCCACTCCAGGGCAATGGGTTTGGTTTTGGTTTGGATCATTGTGGCGGAGACCAGAATGAGAGGTTGATTTGTTGATGTCTTACCTTTCTTTACACCTCTGGTGTCGAAAAGTCTGAAAATGGCATTCTCAGCTAAAGGGTTTAAAAATGGGTAAGAACATTGCATACAGAGCAGTGAACTATGGCGAAACCTAAGTTCACCTTTGTCAGTGATACTATGGGCAGAATTTTTTTCTCCATTGCTTTCTGCATTGCATTTCAGTACGAATGTTTTCTATGTTCGTTTACTGCATTGTTTGGGCGGCTTAATTTAGAAGTAGGGCAAAGAGGTCATAAGAGATGGGAGATTGATGATGGAAAGCGTTGACATGTAAGACAGGACTAAAGTTCTTTAGGGCTTTATGTAAAAGTTTTCATATGAATGTCATCTCTAGAACATTACCGCCGTAGCTGCACGTCACTCTTAGTAGGCTTTTGGCAAACAAGGCTGTTGGGTCACTAACAACTGCCAACTGCTACTGTGTGAAGACTGTCAGGCTGGTTCTTTGTTAACAAGTCCGCAAGAAAAACTCTTGCTGTCATGACATCATAGGGAGGTCAAGTAGTCATCCTTTTCCTTTAGGACGGTATCATTTTACATAGAATCATGGGAAGCCTGGATTGTTAGTTGGCAAACATGAGGCTACTCATTTCTCTCAGAGTTTTTGTGATGACTCAGCTTCAACAGTGGTTGACACATCAAAGCTATTTTCCTTTCACACTAGTATTAAGAATGTCGTCTTTCTCCAGATTTTGTATGTGTTTATGCAATATGTATAAGTATCACTAAGATGCTTTTAAAATGCTAGCATTTAGCATTCACAAAATGTATTAAGATTAGATTAGAAGTCAACCTTCTGATGTGGCCCAAATATGGCATGTAATATGAGGAGATAGCTAAAGGAAAACAAGTAATTGCCACAGGAAGCATACACTTATTCTAGGTTGTTTCCTTTGGAAAAAGTTATCATAATAATAGTTTTGTTTTAAAATTTCCTTAATAATGTAAATAGATTTAATTGACAGTATTAGAAATGACAGGAGTAGTGAATCAGTGATGAATATTTGGCTTTTGGCTAAATTGGTAAGCATTTTAGTCTAGAGCAAATATATATATGTAAGCAAAAATACATTACAACTGAGTAACTAGCCTTAAAAAATGTAAGGCAGCATGTTCAGTTGATTATTTTCAGGAACTAATTTTTTGCACATAGTAAGTGCATTATTTACTCCAAGGTCTTGTATTTTTGTGCAATTTTTAAATGAATTATTTTGCTTTCTGAAATGAGGTTGGAAATTTATAAGGGCAGCTTGGGGAATTGGAATTAGAAAATCACCAGGTAAAATCATCTCTTGGGAATAGGAGTCCTGATTTCGATTCAAAATAAAGAGTTTAGGAGGGAGTTGCTGCAATCCAACATTTAAAACTAAATTGTTTTAAAAGATTCTGGTTTTCCTCTAAGTTCCGTTTCCAATACTGTGTCATTAAAAATGTTCCCTGTTACTCATGTAGTCAGTGGTTTTAATATAACTCCATGGCGAGCAAGTCTTGTAATTTTATAGTGTTCCTCTGTGTATTCTGCAGCCTTTTGTACAGATATATTTGTAATTAAGTGCTTGGTGAAGAGCTGTAAATATCACATATTAATAAAATAAATTATTTCATAAAAAGCTTTAAATGATACAAATAGAACCTGTTTTCTTTAAAAGGAACTTTGGGATTTGGTCGGTTTTAGGAAAATAGTATACGTAACAAATGACAGTTTCTTTTTTTTTTAAGCAGAGGTTTTTAAAATAAGAGAACTTGTTATCCACAAAAAGATAATGATAAGGGAAATCCCTTATGCAGTAAGACTGCTGAAAACACCAGGGGGAAAGTCAATAGAAACAATTACTTTTTGAATCTATTTATGCATCATAAAGGTGGAACATGCTCATTTGCATCGAGTATCTGTGCTAATCGCATTCATTGTGTGGTATACTGTAAAGGCTGCCAGAACCAAAAACAGACCATTGCAGTTAATTGAAATTAGAGGAGAATTAAGCTAATTAGACCATCTTGCCTAAACCAAACACTATTCTTCTTTTCAAGTGAATGATGATTTGGTGTTTGAACCTTCTGTTATTTTATGAGTGCAGAGTGAAAGAAGAGAGGGTGCCTGTATCACATACCTTTAAAATACTGGAATGTTAGTCTACAGTCATTGTTTAAGGAAATTCTAATATGGTATAATCCCGTGTAATCTGAAAAGGTCACTATGCAAAATTCCAGAGGAAGGCATATCCATGCCAGAAGGGTGTCCTTCATAACCAAATTTGGTGTTCAGCTTGGTCTGTGCAAACTCAAACAGGAATCACTTCATTTAAGAAATCTAAGGTATGGTTGCAGTTCAGATAATAAAATTATTCCTGTTTGGTTTTGTCCCCTGATGCCTAAATCAGACGTGAATCAGTCTTGTGACTTGGAGTTTGTAAAATTGGAATCTGAAACTTTGAGTACCTTCGAAGATATATAAAGGTTATATAATGTACATTTCAAAGCTAAGAACCACTTTTTTTTTTTTCTTTTAAATTGTGTTTTCGGTGAAAATTTATACAGCAAATTCAGTTCCCATTTAGCAATTACTATACAAATTATTCAGAGACATTGGTTACATTTCTCACAGTGTGTTAACATTCTCATTAGTAATTCCATTCTGGGTGTTTCAGTTCTAGTAGTCTGGTTTCCCTGTCCTCTTACTGTTTCACCTTTGCTTTAGAGTAATTGTGGACCATTTGGTCTCATATAGATGAATTTTTTTTAATATTATTTATTTTGTTGTTGAGAATATACACGGCAAAACATACACCAATTTAGCAGTTTCTGTGTGTACCATTTAGTGACGTTGATTACATTCTTCAAGTTGTGCGACCATTCTCACCCTCCTTTTCTGAGTTGATCCTGTCTAATCTTTCAAGTTGCTGTTGTCATGATCCCATGCAAATAGTTCTTTAAAGAGCATAATGCTCAAGGCGGACATTTTTCTGGTTAAGCTAAACTATTGTTTGATTTTAAGAAGACTTCAGGGGATATTTTTGGTTTAAGGTTTAAAGATTATCTCAGGGTAATAGTTTTAGGGGTTCATCCAAAGTTCATGGTTCTTGGAAGTCTGGAGTCCATGAGAATTTAAAATTCTGTTCTGCATTTTTCCCCTTTTGATCAGGATTCTTCTGTGGAATCCTTGATCAAAATGTTCAGTAATGGTAGCTGGGCACTGTCCAGTTCTTATGGTCTCATGGCAGAGGAGGCCAGTGTTCATGGAGGCAGTTAAGAACCAGGTTTTAAAATACAGATTTCCAGATATTTAGTTTCCTTTTGTTTAATTTATTTGAAAGATGATTAGTTAAGAGAATATGCCTTAATTATAAAAACAAAATAATGATAGTTTTTATGTCTCATATATTTTATATTTCATCTCAAAAAGCCAAGGCAGCCAGTAGCTTTAGGGCTAGATCCAATCAAAACATTTGCCTTACTTAATAAAACTGTAGTTTTGAAATTAAGACTTTTTTGTCAATTTAATGCTAAGCATTTAAATTAATTTTTTATTTAACAATGATATACACTTAACAACAACAACAAAAAAACCTTAGTCTCAGCTCCTTAATTGTTTTTATGTTTGACTATTACTGGCGTAGTGGTTAAGTGCTACAACTGCTAACCAAAAGGTTGGCAGTTCGAATCCACCAGGTGCTCCTTGGGAACTCTGTGGAGCAGTTCTGCTCTGTCCTGTAGGGTCGCTATGAGTCAGAATCAACTCGACAGCAGCGAGTTTGGTTTTTAGTTATTACCTTTCAATCTTTGCCTATAAATATTCTCATTTTACTAAGACCAAAGTGGTAATTTGCATATGTTATTAGCGATGCTAGAGTAAACAGCTACATAAAGAACTTTTGAAACAGTCTTTACTATTACCAATTATTTTTTGACACATCTTTCAAAATGGTTTAGGGACACTTGTTTTTTGTTGATGTAACAATTAAAATATTACTTGAAGCTCAGTAGTGTTAACCTGTTGCTGTCTTTAAATATTTTAATAAGATTTTATTTGACTTATTTTAAAAGGATGCAGTTGTCTTCATACTTTTACCTGTTTTCTAGTGATTAACTTGTTTCTTGCAAGCAAAATTAGAATTAATTCTTGTTTAATTTTTGCTTTCACTTCATTTTTCACACAGTTGTTATTAAATATTTATTTTGGCTAGCTTCAATCTCTTTTGACTTTTAGCGAGGCTGTGAAGTCTTTAAGGCCACAGGCTGTCTCCATTTCAATTCAGTTAGCATTACTTGATCATCTATATTAGATTCTAGTGTACAGCTTCTTAGCTTAGTATGCAAGATTCTACCCAGCCTTACTTCCTTTCTTTGAACTTTACAGTCTATACTCATTGAATATCATTTCTAAAATTGTCTTATTTGTCTTATTTTTTTCTACTCCTAGCACAATATCTGATACCTTTTAGGTGCTAAATAAATGTTTGCTAAACAGATAAAGAGGGAGAATTGTTTTCTATTTGAATAGAAAAAAGAAATATAACCGAATATTAGCATGGGTTATCACTGAGTTATGATTATTACTTTGATTCTTCTTTTGTTTTCAGAATTGGTTCCCATGAATACATCTTGTACAATCAGTAAGACGATGGTCTTTTTTTGGCCATAGCTGGAGAATTGGATGTTGTTGTCTCAGTAGCATCTTAACAGAAGGGCACTTTTTTGTATGTCATAGCTAAAGAATAATCAGACATGGATGCCTATTTTTAATTAAGTGATGCCCAGATGAGGTCATCTTAGTATATCCGTCAGGAGTGCTTTGAACTGGAGGGGGAAAACAAACAACTAACAGTGGCTTAAATAAACACAGCGGTTATTTTTCTTACATACCAAAAAGTCTGAGATGGGCCCTTCCTGCTACCACTTCAAGGACCCTGACTCTGTTACACTCTGTCATCCTTGACTGTAGACTTTTCACTGTCACATTTATCATGTTTGCAAGATGGATGCTATAGGTCCAGACGTTCATTCCAGGAAGGAGATGGTACACCTTCAGCTGAGATAATCAGGAAAACAAAACACTTTTCCAGAGACCTCCCAGTCATGTGGCCACTAAAAAAAAAAAAAAAAAAAAAAAAAAATGCCGAACCCATTGCCGTCTAGTCGATTCTGACTCATAGCGATCCTATAGGACAGGGTTTCCAAGGAACAGTTGGTGGATTTGAACTGCCGGCCTTTTGGTTAGCAGCCATGCTCTTAACCGCTGTGCCACATGCAGAGTGTTTGGCTTTCCAGTCTAACTAATGGGAGGTGACGAGGAAAAGGGGAGTTGAGACTGGCTTTTGATGCCCTGTAGGGAGTGTCTGCTTCATTGTTACTGTTAGATTCTAAGCTTTGGGGAGTAAGATTGTATGATAACAGTTTCTAAAAAGGAAGGTCTTTTCCAGCTGAAATCTAAGAAGTATTCTATAATGTTAAGGGTTCTGTTCTGGGGTCACGATTGTTCAGTTTTTTTGGGCCCGGCTTCCTTCCTTCCCTTTAGAAGAGACTAGAGAGCAAGTAGACACTTGTTTGCAAATATCCAGAAGCCCCTTGCTACTGTGTACTTTGTTGTACCTAAATAAGTCAGCATTTTTTTGAAGAAAATCATATAACCTAGGAAATAAAGACACTTGGCAGTCTCCACTGGGCTCTCAAAACTGCCTCCAAAGTTTACCTCATTTTTTTTATCAGACTCATACTTTGAAATGCCTATTTTCATACTTTCTCTGCTTTCTTCAAAACTATGAAATACTCTGTAACTTTTTTGGGGGGGGCAGGAGGAAATCACTTTATTTTCTTTTTTTATAGTTGTACTTTAGATGAAGGTTTACAGAAGCTAGCGGCTCATTAAACAGTACACATATTATTTTATGACATTGGTTAACAACCCCATGACATGTCAGCACTCTCCCTTCTTGACTTTGGTTTCCCTATTACCAGCTTTCTTGTCCCCTCCTACCTTCTTGTCCTTGCCCCTGGGGTTGTGCCCCATTAGTCTCGTTTTGTTTTACGGGGCTGTCTAATCTTTGGCTGAATGGTGAGCCTCAGGAGTGACTTCATTACTGAGCTAAAAGGTGTCTGGGGGCCATACTGTCAGGATTTCTCCAGTCTCTGTCAGACCCATAAGTCTGGTCTTTTTTGTGTGTGTGAGTTAGAATTTTGTTCTACATTTTTCTCCAGCTTTGTCTGGGACCCTGTGTTGTGATCACTGTCAGAGCAGTCTGTGGTGGTAGCCGGGCACCATCTAGTTGTACTGGACTCAGTCTGGTGGAAGCCGTGGTAGTTGTGGTCCATTAGTCCTTTGGACTAATCTTTCCCTTGTGTCTTTATTTTTGTACATTCTGCCTTACTCCTGAAGGGGTAAGACAAGTGGAGTATCTTAGATGGCCACTCACAGGCTTTTAAGACCCCAGATGCTACTCACCAAAGTAGAATGTAGAACATTTTCTTTATAAACTATGTTACCAGTTGAACTAGATGTTCCCCAAGACCATGGTCCCCAGCCCTCAGCCCAGTAATTTGATCCCTCAGGGAGTTTGGCTGTATCTATGGAACTTCCACGACCTTGCCTTGGTCATGTTGTGCTGGCTTCCCCAGCATTGTATACTGTCTTACCCTTCACCAAAGCTACTACTTACCTATTGTCTATTTAATGTTTTTCCCTCCACACCCCTCCCTTCCCTCGTAACCATCAATGATCATTTCTTTTTGTGTGTAAACCTTTTAATGAGTTTTTATAATAATGGTTTCATACAATATTTGCACTTTCGTGATTGACTTATTTCACTCAGCATAATGCCCCCCAGATTCATCCATGTTGTGAGGTGTTGCACAGATTCATCATTGTTCTTTATTGTTGCATAGTATTTCTATAACCATTTTACTTGGTAGATAACCTTTCCTTCTACTTCACAGAGAAAATCTGAAGCCGTAATAATGGAGTTCCCACTTCCAAATCCCTGGGAGTTCCTGGGTGGCACAAATGGTTAAGTACTCAACTACTGGCCGAAAGGTTGCCAGTTTTAACCCACCCACCCAGAGGTGCCTGGGAAAACAGGCCTGGGGTTCTGCTTCTAAAAGGTCAATGACTCACAGCCTTGAAAACCCTGTGGAACTGTTTTATTGTGCACACAGGGGATTGCCATGAGTCGGAATCGACTTGTCGGCAGCTAACAATTCCAAATCAAGAAACTGCCTGCTTTTGCACATTCTCTTCCTGTTTGAATGGAGGAAGTATTCCTTCTGATAACACCAGGGTGGACTTGAACTTTCAGCCTTTTAGTTAGCAACCCTTTATACCACCCAGGGACTCCAACAGTAAACTAGGTACTACTTTTTCTTCCGTCCTTCGGTTCCCAACTTAAACATACCTTCTGTGAGAGTGTTTCTGGATATTCTGCTCCCACCCGACTCAGGCTCTCTGGTTTTATGGTCTCATAACACTTCGTTGCATGAGTGAGCATTCTAGTTACTGGTCTGTCTGCCGCACTATTAAACTTCAGTAAAGCAGAGAGAAGTCTGTCTTGTTCACCATTGTAGATGGTACATAACAGGCATTCGGTAAATACTTGTTGAATGAATGATTGAAAAGCTGCTGCAGTATACTGAAAAACTGAATGGAGTAGTAGAAGGAACCTTGGACTGGGACATAGGAGATCTAGGTTTGAATACTGTCATTAATGACTTGTGTATCTTGCAGGTTTCCTTGTCTGTAAAAAGATACTGGTATTGAAGATACAACCTCAATACCTGCAAAGTAGATGCACATTAAATAAAAATTCACTCAGCAATATTTGAGTGTCTAACATAGTACTGGAGCCCTGGTTGCACAGTGGTTAAGAGTTCAACTGCTAACCAAAAGGTTGGCAGTTTAAATCCACCAGCCGTTCCTTAGAAACCCTATGGGGCAGTTCTCCTTTGTTCTACAAGGTCACTGTGAGTCAGACTTGATGGCAGTGGGTTTGATTTTTTAACATAGTGCTAATTACTGTGCTGATCTCTGGAAATACACCAAAGAGCAAACAAACATTCTTGTTTTCATGAAGTTCATGTTACAGTGGATTTGTACTTGGTGACCTATAAGGTCTCTCCTAGGAGCCCTGGTGGCGCAGTGGTTAAAGCACTTGGCTGCTAACCTAAAGGTCAATAGTTTGAACCTACCAGCTGTTCCACGGGACAAAGATGTAGCAGTCTGCTTCTGTAAAAGGTTTACAGCGTCGGAAACCCTGTGGGCAGTTCTGCCCTGTCTTATAGGGTCACTGAGTTGATACCGACTCGATGGCAATGGGTTAAGGTCTCTAGCACTCAGAGATTCAGTGACATGAAGTAATGCATAGTAGGCATTCTGTTGAAGGTTAAATAAATGATGGCATCTTTAAAAAAACTTAGAAATGTCTGTTCACCTTTAATTTGTGAAACTGAAACACTTTTCTTTTGTTTTTCAGTCCAAGCCTTATGCATTTGATCGGGTATTCCAGTCAAGTACATCTCAAGAGCAAGTGTATAATGACTGTGCAAAGAAGATTGTTAAAGGTAAATATATTTAACCTGCTGAGTTGTTCCACTAATAAGTAAAATTTTGTTTATGATCTTCTAGTGAAGGTATTATCATTAGAAGAATTATAATGTTGCATACTTAGAAAATGCGTTTCTGTTAGATATTCCCAGGAGATTTTCTGAGTTAGCAATTTAGAAATAAAACAACATGTGAAGGAAAACAAAATGGCTAGGAAGTTGAGATGACTTTCTAAAAGGAAGTAGAAATTGGCGGTCTTTACCATTTTTGTATTCCATTATTATTTCTTCCCCAAAGACTTATTTTGTAGTTAGCAGAGAAATTCCTGAAGAATTTAAGAGGGGTTACCGAAGATGAGAAAAATATGTGCATTCCAGTTAGTACTATTAGCCTGTATACTCAGGGCATTTTTCAGTTTTATATTTTCTAAAATCATAGAACCTTAGAGGTGTGACAGCCTAAGTGATTATCGGGGCTTCGAGTTGCTACAGAAATCCCTTTTATCTTAAGTATCTTACAGTTAAATAGCCACTACTTTGTTTATGATAAGACTTATCCCATTTTTTGACAGCTGTATTTATTAAAAAGTGCTTCTCAGATGGAGACAAAATCTGTCGTATGGCATTTCACTGGGGAGAGGAGTTGGGATTCGGTATAACGTGGAGCAGTTGGGGTTAGTGTGATCACAGACAGGTCAGCATAGTAGGAGAGAAAGCAGAATTTATAGATACAAGTAGATATATAGATGGGATGGGGGAAAATACAGATGTTCTCTTCGTTAATTCCCTTTTTGTCTATGATAGAGGAAGCAGAGTCATCGCAGAGAGAGAGGATGGGAGAGGAGGTTCAATGAAAAGGTGGTAGGATTAGTTGATTATAGAGCTCAGTGGGGTGAAAGGTTTGTTGGACTCAAGGTACTAAAAGAGGTAGTAGGAGGTGGATACTTGAAATTTAGATATGGAGGCAGCGTGGTCAGTCATGGGAAGGTCTAGGGCATGACCATGGGAGTTGGTGTCTAAGGAAGTGAAGGACACAATCATGGAGAAAATGAGCTCAGGGATTGAGTGGCCAGGGTATTTCAGTGGAATCATCTACTTTGTGGATGTTGAAATCACCAAAAATTATAACAGGAATGATATTGGCAAGAGACAATGAACTGGATGCTAAAATCTTCATAAATTTAGGAGGTATTAACTTCTGATTCTATAAATGACTGCAGCAAAGAGGAGCAGGCGGTATCTTACGTTGTAGCTTCCAGTTATACCCTTTGATTGTGACATACTTTTGTCATTATTATAGCCTAAGATTACATTAGCTTTTAAAAAATATAGTTTTACTGTGGTAAAATATATATAACAAAAAATTTTCTGTTTTAACCACTTTAAAGTGTCCAATTCCATAACATTAATTAAATGTACCATGTTGGGCAACCATCACCACTATTTCTAAAAGCTTTTCATCACCCCAGACAAACTCAGTACTCCTTAAGTAGCAACTTCCCATTTCTCCTTCCCATAAGCTTCTGGTAAGCACTAATTAACTTTTGTCTCTGTGCGTTTAATCTTTTAGATATGTTCTTTGTGGCTACCGTGGGGATCACATTTAACACCCTAAATTTATACAGTCTATTTAAAATTGATACCACCTTAACTCCAATAACATACAAAACTCTGTTCATACTACTCCTCCCCCCTTATGTCACTATTGTCACGAATTACATTTTTATATAGTATTCCTAACAACATGAATTTGTAATTATTTTTTATGCATTTGTCTTTTAAATCATGTAGGACATAACAAGTAGAGTTACAAACCAAAAATACCATAAAACTGGCTTTTATATTTACCCAAAGATTTAACCTTTACTGGAGATCTATTTCTTTATGCAGATTCCAGTTACTGTATAGTGTCTTTTCATTTTAATGAGAAGGACTCCCTTTAGCATTTCTTGTAGGGCAGGTCTCATAACAAACTCCCTCAGCTTTTGTTTATCTGGGAATGTTTTGATTTCACTCTCATTTTTTGAAGGACAGTTTTGCCAGATACAGAATTTTTGGTTGACAGTTCTTTTTTCCAGCACTATAAGTATGTCATCTCACTGCTCTGTGGCTGCCATGGTTTCTTTCTAAGGGAGAAATCGACAATCTTATTGAGGGTCCCTTGTATGTGATGATTTGTTTCTCTTGCTGCTTTCGAGGTTCTCTATTTATCTTTGGTTTTTAACAGGTTGATTATAATGTGGATCTCTTTGGATTTATCCTAATTGGAGTTCTTTCATTGAGCTTCTTGGATGTGTAGGTTCATGTCTTTTGTTAAATTTGGGAAGTTTTTGGCCATTATTTCTTCAAATATTCTTTCTGGCACACCCTCTTTCTTTTCCTTTTCAGACTTCCATAATGCAAATGTTGGTCCCCTTAATGTTGTCCCAGAAGGTCCCTTCGGAGTTCACAGGCCGGCCAGGAAGGCAGACAAAGTAAATTTACAGTGATTAGTGTTATGATTAAATGCAGATGCTATATGAACACATAGGGTGGGGCGCTTACTCAGATTTGCTTGGGGTTAGCTTATAGAGGAAGAAGTAAAGGCTAAGCTAGTCTTAAAGGATGCACAGACAAACTAGGAAGGAGAAGGGAGGGGTGCCTTCCAGGCAGAGAGATGGCACATGTGGGCTAAGGCATGCACATATGAGAAGAGTGAATTGCATGTATAGGAAACATACATTATGGTATGACTGTTAGGTTGAACTATATGAAATTATCAAATTTGACTGTTTTAACCAACAAGAACGGCAGTTTCATATGGTTCAACCTAATAAAATATAGACTATGAGGGGAAGGATTGTAGGAAAATGAAGCTAAAAAAGTAAACAAGAGCCAGAGCAAAAAGTACCTGATTTTATCTGATTATAGATGTGTGCTCTCTAGGATTTTCAGACAGATTAGTATCATTTATATTTTTAAAAAGATCCACATGTAAATATGTGCATTTCATTGCATGACAGTTTTACCTGGTTGGCGCGGGAGGATCTAATTAATGATATGCATGCTGAATTACTTCAGGGGAAGTATACTGATGTCTGCAGTTTACTTTGAAATACTACATTATTTAAAAATAGGATGGATAAAAGATAGCTCGATAGCATTATTAAAGCAAACAGTAAAATGATGAAATGTTAATGGTAGAACCTAGGTGGTAGTTAAAGGAGTGTTCACTGTAAAATTCATTCACGTTTTCTGTATTTAAAAAAATTTTATAATAAAATATTGGAGGAAAAAACACAAAATAAAAAATGCTGGAGAGGCTGTGGAGAGACTGGAACACATACACTGTGGGAATGTAAAATGGTACAACCACTTTGGAAATCGATTTGGTGCTTCCTTAAAGAGCTAGAAATAGAAGTACCATACAATCCAGCAATCCCGCTCCTTGGAATATATCCTAGAGTATTAAGAGCTGTCACACGAATAGATACATGCACATCCATGTTCATTGTAGCACTGTTCACAATAGCAAAAAGATGGATACAACCTAGGTGCCCATCAACCGACGAATGGATAAACAACTTATCGTTTCGTAGTATTCCATTCTGTGGATATACCATAAAGAACAACGATGAAGCTGTGAAACATCTTATAACATGGAGGAAGCTGGAAATCATTAAATGCTAAGTGAATTTAGTCAGTCACAGAAGGACAAATATTGTATAAGACCACTATTATAAGAACTCAAGCAAAGGTTTAAACACAGAAGAAAACATTCTTTGATGGTTACAAGGGTGGGGAGGGAGG